ATAAAATAAAATAAAATAAAATAAAATAAAATAAAATAAAATAAAATAAAATAAAATAAAATAAAATAAAATAAAATAAAATAAAATAAAATAAAGAAGGAAGACTGAGTCTCTTCCATCATCCCTTTCCAATCCAATGGAGGCTAAGTGTTCCTCCGGGAATGTCCTGCCGGGGATTTGCCGAGGCAGAAAGTCACCTGTCACCGCCTAGGCTGTCCCCTTGTCCCCACTCCGGGCTTCAGCCCCGGGCTGCAGGAGCTGATTCCAAGATTCCAAGAGTCCCTGGGGAGCTGCTCGGCGGCTCTAGGACGAGGAGGTCGGGATGGAGATTCCATGGATGGCGCTCAGGGGCTCCGGAGCTTTCCGCACGGGGCTGGGGGGTTTTCTGTCCACCCCTGCAGGAAGGGGGAGAGGGAAAAGGACAGACCAGACAAGGGATGGAGGGACTCCGAGCACGGGGGGACACCCCAAAAACCGCCTCAAGAGCCGCTCGGAGTCCCGGAGTCCCCCCAACAGCGCATGTGACCCCACCCCCCTACCCCCCTCACAGTGACAGGGACAACGCTGGTGGCACTGCCAGGGACATGGGGTGACCGGGCGAGGTGGCCCCGACCAGTCCCAGCCACGCACAGAACACATCCCTAAAAATTCCTAAAATTTGGGGTGTCCTGGGAGGGGACTGTGCTAGGGAGGGGAAGAGATAGGACAGTGCCACCATTCCAGAGGTGAGGAAATTCCCGCTGAGCTCCATCCTACCCCAGCTCAGCCCTCGGGAATTCTGCCTTTGGGGACCGGGATATTTATCCCGGGGCTCCTGGAGGCACTGGGATAAGCAGGGAAGGTTTTCGGGGGAAATCCAGGAAACTGAGAAAGGGCTGAAATTGCCTGGCTGGGATTTGCTTCCTTCTTTCCAGGCTTTTCCCATTTTTCGCACTCGCTACAGGTACCCCAGTCCACCCTACCCTTCCTCCTCCAGCTCGTTTGTCGGATAATCCAACATTTTCCTCGTCCCAGGCAAGTGGCAGAATCAGAAAACCGATCCAAAGGGGAAAATGGGAAAATTTTTAAATAAACTTTAAAGAGAAAAATAAAAATCAATTTTAAAACCACATGTAATTAAACCCCATCAATAAATCTACAAAGGTCTACAAAATCTACAAAAACCTACAAAGGTTTAGAGAAAGTCTGGGGACAAAACAGGTTAAAAATGGGAAATCAGATAATTCAGGCTCCAAATAATTTTAAATACCTCGAAAATATGTTAAATATGTAAAGGTGCCTGTGGTCGTTTTA